TCTTTTAGGATGCTGGCCACAAAAAGGTTTATTGAATTCGAATTTCGAATTGTTCATGAAAATAAAACTGTATACTTTTTAGAATTTTACTCATTTTTAAATATGGAGTGGACGCTTAAAGAAGACCGTGTTGCAGTTATTGCGTTGCATCGTTGCAGTTACGCGCCAATTCAATTTTTTGACATACTGAAAAATTTTATTATACTATAATTTTAATATAACCAAAAGATTCATTTATCGTACCATCAAACGATAAAATGAAGACTCTAGTGTAGATGACAGGTCAAGAAGTGGTCGCTCTCGGTCTTTTAGGACTCCAGCAGTGATAAAAGCTGTGAAGGCGCGAATTCAAATAAATCCCAAACGTAAGCAGAAACTGTTGGCCTTTCAGATGGGGTTAAGCAGAACCACGGTGAAAAGGGTGTTAAATGAAGAGTTAGGGCTTAGAGTTAGGAATATCGAAGAAAAACAGGACATTGTTTGAATGCTCGTCTAATGGACCTGAGACTGAAGAGTTGCCGTGCTTTGTTGAAACGGTACGCGGGAAAAAAATATCGGTAAATTCTTTTTTCGGATCAAAAAATTTTTACCGTATAAGAGAGCTACAACAAACAAAATGATAAGGTGTACGTACACAGTAGTGAAGAAGCGAGCAACTGTATTCCGCTTGTCCAACGAGGTTCTTTTCCATCCTCGCTCATGGTATGGTTGGTAGTTTCTTATTGGGGCTTAACCCGCAGATTACTTAGCTAGCACTTAGCGCGCAGATTGAAGGCCTGTATTCAAAATCACGGAGGTCATTTTGAATAAACTTTAGTGTCATAAGAATCTATGTTATGTTATCTATATGTATCTAAGGAATTCGCAAAGTAAAAAAGACATTTAAGACCATAGCTAGGTATCTTAACTTAGAGTGTTAATAATAAGTTCTAGCATATTTATTTCTTTATTACCTATTTGGTAACGGCAAATCCTTACCCAAAAAATGAAATTAATATTTTTTCGGCTTCGTAGCGTTTAAATCGTAAATATGACTATATGACATTATTTTCTAAACTTACATGTAGTTTTTCTACTATACCTTATAACTATACATTAACTGTCACTATTAGATTTTTAAATGTATGGAAAGTGGGCATGATTCTTAACGTTGACAAATTAGAAAAAAAAACTTGTTTTATTCATGATTCATGTAATTTAAGGAATTTTAAAAATAAAAATTAAATTTAACAAATAATACATTAAAAAATTAATTATTCGATTATTTGAATATTTTTACCGATTATTGGAATATTTTTGCCGATCTAAATACTACGGTAATATACATAGCGACATATCATTAAAACGACGTCAAATACAAAAAGTTGATACTGGTTATTTTTTAATATTTTGCTTTGTTTGAAAGATTCAAATTTAAATTAGTGATAAATAACTATACACGTGGTAATGAAATATAGCTAACTTCATAATTCTTCGGATTTACGTAAATGGTTGTGATTTATGATTATGATGTTATTGCTGAATGATTAATGTGAAAACGTCAAAAGGTATTTCTTAGATTTGGTTGACTATTGTACTGTAATGTTCTACAAGCCAAATTTCGGTTATGTCAGCCAATCTTCATCATCATCATCATCATCATCACAGCCCTTCACAAGTCCACTGCTGAACATAGGCCTCCCCCAAGTAATGCCACAAAGCACGGTCCTGAGCCACCTGCATCCATCGACTTCCTGCATATCTTACCAGGTCGTCACTCCATCTAGTGGGGGGTCGCCCTACACTACGCCTACCGGTACGAGGCTGCCACTCGAGAACCTTTCTTCCCCATCGGTTATCGGTTCTTCGAGCTATATGGCCGGCCCATTGCCACTTCAGCTTACTAATCCGTTGGGCCATGTCGGTCAATCTGGTTTTACTGCGGATATCCTCATTTCTGAGTCTATCACGCAGAGAAACTCCAAGCATAGCCCTCTCCATAGCTCGCTGAGCGACCTTGAGCGTCCTCATACGGCCAGCAGTGAAGGACCACGTCTCTGATCCGTAAGTCATCACTGGCAACACGCACTGGTTGTACACTTTAGTTTTCAGAGATTGAGGTATACCTGACGAGAAGATATGTCGTAATTTCCCGAACGCTGCCCAGCCGAGTTGAATCCGTCGATTGACCTCTCGGTCGAAGTTGGACTTACCTAGTCGGACTATTTGTCCCAGGTAAACGTACTCGTCAACAACTTCGAGCATAGTGCTCCCAACAACTACCGGCATAGGTGTGACATGGACATTAAACATAATCTTTGTTTTGTCCATGTTCATCTTAAGACCTATCCGTTGGGAGGCACTATTGAGGTCATTTAGCATAGTGCTTAAGTCCTCCAGCGATTCTGCCATAAGGACTATATCGTCGGCAAATCGAAGGTGAGTGATGTACTCGCCATTGATGTTAATACCGTATCCTTTCCAGTCCAGTAGCTTGAAAACGTCTTCCAAAGCAGCGGTGAAGAGTTTCGGGGATATAACGTCACCCTGTCTTACACCTCTCTGCAGTTGGATAGGTTTCGAGCTCAATCTTAACGGAGAGTAATCATCTGTGCAGGTCAGGATATTTTTTTCTTTATTAATAGGGTATTTTAAACGAGAAACGTGAATTTCTATTTATAAAATTGCATTATAAATTTTATATACCAATTTTAAGATTTTTTTTGTATGTGCCCCAAATCAGCAAAAATTGTCCGCCATATTAGAGACTGTTGTGACGTCACTGATCCTGCCTAAGGGTGTTAGTGTTCTGTGTCACTGATTAAAATAACTAGCTAATGTTCTGTGTTATTTCGAAAATTTTTAAGTTATCATTACGATTATTGAGTTTTAATCCGAATTTTGTTGAAAAAGCACCGTGGAAGACGAATTCGTAAAAGCAGAAAGTACTAATCTACCAAAGATAAATAAATTGATGGTGGCAATTTTTTTTGCATGCAATCCCAATTTTTGTCCTCCCGAGTTGAGGACTGTTATATTATATAATTCTTCTTGTACTATTTGAACTTACGTGTCAACTAATTAATGATTCGAACATTCTCAGGGAATTTTATGTACCTAATGTTGTAAAATATAATTAAATGCACTTTAACATACCATCTTAATCCTTTAACGTATATGTAGCTTTATTTTGTTTGAGTCTTTGTGTGTTACAGTAGCCACTTACGATCAGGTGGACCGTCAGTACGTTTGACGCTAAAATTTTGTTAAAAAAATAAAAATAGATAAGGAAAAAGGATAGGGTATATTGTTTCTGCTAGCAATTTCGACTTGACCTTGTCCCACAAAGACTCATAAAGTCGACACTTAAATAAGGCCCTTATTGATAAGGCTTTTATGAGCTGAGCTACGGTCGAATAAGTACCTCTTCTTTAGTAAGCTTAAATTAAATGATATGGATTATTAGGATTAATTAAACTTATTGCGATATAAGAGGGAAATTGTATGTTATATACGTTGTAGCATTTATTTATTAATATCATTTTATTAAAACCTTATTATTCAGCTAGCTAATCAATTTGAAATTACGTTTTCTTCCACACAAAAAGCAGCGACCACGCGCGCCTCCACGAGGAGAACTCGCCACTTCTTGTGGTTGTTCTTCCAATGGAATACCCAAAAAATCGTTTATTTTAAGCTTGAAGATCTTAGGTACACAATCAGTACTTATTCTTCTACTAGCCAAAGGTTTTATCATACCCAACGCAATATCAGAAAGAAACTCTCGACGCAACACTTTTATTAGTCCATTGTTAGCTTTGTATATGCATAAAGCATTTATGGCACTTATATTAATCAAATTAAAAAAAAAACCGTCAGCAGCCATCACCGTGAGATTCTGGCCACATAATACAAGGAGCACGTTTTGTCCACTAAGTCTAACCCATTCTTTGTTCGATTATAATATGTAATAATATCTGGTTTACGTTTGTCACCAAAACTCTCGTCAATACAACCATCATTATGTACAGTTGACAAAAGTAATACAACCTTATTCTTTTTTGGCACATATGAAACTAAGGTGGTGTTTTCATGAAAACCAAACAAAGACGAAAATTCAGTTCTGTGTGTAGTTGTTCGGAATGCCTTCGGTACCTCACCTTTATCAATTTTAATTGTACCAACGACAGTGGTTTTATTTTCAAAAAGCTTCTTAGCTGCTTCGAGAGAAGTAAACCAGTTGTCCATTGTGACGTTTCTATTTTCACCATGAATAGGTTCAGTGACTCTCAGAACTACGTCAAACCGATTATTACTTACTTCGAAGGGACCGGGGTTACTGCCTCCATATATTTCCAAATTGTATGTGTATGGACGTTCACAATCGACCAGGGCAAATATTTTGATCCCATATTTTGCTGGCTTGTTGGGAATGTATTGCCCAAATCGGCTCCTGCCTCTGAACGCTATCAATTGTTCGTCTAAAGCCAGTTTAGAACTTGGTGTATAATGTTTTTGAAAATTTTTGACAATTTTCTGAAATAAATCACGAATAGGTGCCAACTTGTCAACCGTTATCCTTTGCGCTCTCGTTGTAGGATCATCGAAACGAAGGTTTCTCATCAAAAACTTGAACCTTTGTACATTCATTGTAAGATAAACAGGTTCCATCCCGGTCCCTTTCTTAACGTCAAACAACTACAAGATATTTTCCCTTCCAGATTTTACACTCCCACGGAGATATAAAATGCCCAATAGTCCTTTTATTTCTAACTCATCAGTTATTTTCGCATCTCTATCCCTTGAATATTTATTTTGCTCAATTAGTATACGTTGTGATCCGTTATCATAGCTACAATTTCATCATCAAGAAACAGAGACAAACAATCTAGAGAAGTAGCCTTCGTTTTCGCTATTTCTCGAGGACCTGATTGTACGTACCTGACACGTACGATGTTGTGTTGGCGCATCAAACGTCGAGAACGAATTTGTTCTTACAGCCATCTAGTATTGTGAATACCTTAGTAAAATAAATTTGAAAGTGGTACCTCTTCCTCATCCGTGAAAACGTATGCGGGGTTTGCGGAACTAGCAAATGTTTGGTTCAACTCAAATTCACCTAAATCATGGTCACCATCTTCTTCTGAGTTCGTATTTTCGCCCTGGACTTCTAGATGATCCGACTCTTCGTCATCAGAACATGGAGTACCCTCTAAAATGTCTTCATCTTCCTCCAATAACCATAACTCGATTTGCTGATCTCGGTTTGCCATTTTTAGTTCTAAAATAAAAATTAAAAACAATTTTTTTAGCAAAATAATATAATAATTGCTATATATAATAACAGCTACAAGAAATTACTAATTTCATTAAATAAATATTATTTACTATAAAAGGTGCTATAAATATATCATAACAATTACAAAATCGTTAAAAATGTTATAAAATGGTCGCCACAAAATACCTACGTAAACGGTCGCGCGGATAACATGTGTCCTCCACCAACGAATATGCACTTCTCCTGAGTCAACCGAACCACGCAAGAGCACGGCAGTTACTGACATCACGCAGCCAAGCGAAAAAATACAAGCTACTATGAGCAATAATAAACTGGGTGCCAGCGATGTGTTGCCATATAAAAATCAAAAATTCCCGGCCATTTAGTCAGAGTGGATGTCATCCGCGCGACCATTCTAGGGTTAAGTGGCTACTGCCGCCAATGAACAACTGTCTAATCTAATATTGATTTCTTCGGGTTTATTAAACGGGTATCCGGTTTTGGCCATTCACGTTACATAACACAGTATATTATTCTGTGATTTTATACGTGTTAGAGCCACGTAGCTCTATTATGGTTGTAGCATAAATTGGTTGGAAAAGAAAACGTTCCCACATGAGTTGAATACGCTTTTAAGTGGAAATAAAGGATTCCATCTTAGTTCTCGAGTGACAATGCATCTGTATTTTCTATAGAGGATACATGAAGATATTCACGGGCCAAAACATCCACTTACCATCAGTTGAACTTGGTTAGTGTTCTTGTTTTTGACCTTTATCCTATAAAAAATGTGCTGCACGCATAAGTTTTCGCAGTGTGGCTTAACCATGAGACATATCGTTTGCCAGTTAACATCTCTATTTAACACTAAAGTAGGTTTAGATATTTTATATACGACGTGCCTAAACCACCTTCTGTGAGTCTTTTATCACACAATTTTTATTGATGGTGGCTAGTCAATAAAATACAACTTATGGATTTTTAAAATTGATAATGTAACCCAGATATCATAATGTCGAAATCAATATTTTAAATATATACTAGACAGAACCTGTCAACTAGAGAATTGCAATATTATTTCCATAGAATGCTATAATACATACATAATAGAACGGGGGATTGCGCGGAGCCCGCGTAGCCACTAACATGTCAAATCACACCTATAAATGTCAACACAATCAATCGTTTTCAATTGTCGTGTCAAGGGACGCTGCATACAAATTATGTAAAAAACGGCAAATTACGTTTCGAAAAAACAGTGGAATATGGAATTTAAATAAAGGAGACATATTCTAAAACCAATAAGTCGAAACTATTTATATTTTGTAAATATTAGAAACATACAGCGAAACGGGTTTGTTGTAGTGATAATACGACGTAATTGCTTGTATGTGTGCTCCCGGTGACACTGATCCTCGTACAAAATTAGGTTGATAACAATTCTATTGTGTATTATAGTATTCTATGATTATTTTCGACAATAAGCAAAATTGATCTTTCAGGATTTCTTTTCATATTATTTAGGCAACCGCCTCAAATTACTTTAGTTTGTAGTTAATATTTTTGGATTCATTGAAATTTAGTTGATATTTTAATTTGTATTTGATATCAATTTTAAATTATTAGTGTGTAATATAATATTTTACATAATACTGTAAAAAGATAATTACTACTACTACCACCAGTTTAAATCTATGTCTGCCTACGACTTGCAACTCAAACACTGTATTTTTATAATTTGTTCTTTTGATTTTTTTATAGGTTAAAATGACAAACAAGCACATAGTCCACCTGATGGTAAGTGGTTGCTGTGGGCTATAGACAACTACACATACCCTCGATTACGAATCAAAATGCAGATGCGTTGTCACCCAGATGGACTGCCTCGTTTCCAGTAAAAAGGGACTCCGGTTCACCATACGAATCTCACCATACGAAACACAGCAGCATTAAGCTACTATATGTTAATACACTATTTGACGCCGGTATTCTATGAGAGCGTGGTTCTTCCCTGGTCGAGCCGACTCATTTGTGCTACAACTGTACTACTAATATAACTGCAGCATGGCTCACCCACGTATATAATTTTTATTAAACGTTACCACTAGAATTTTCTCCTGTATCGTTGAGGCAGTTTAGATACATTAATTTCAAAAGGACCAACATCCAAAGCAGGAACAATGATCTGTAAGTCATAAAAATACCTTTTCGAGCGGCAGCCTCGTACCGGTGGGCGAAGTGTAGGGCAACCCCTACTAGATAGAGTGACGACCTGGTAAGACATGCAGGAAGTCGATGGATGCAGGTGGCTCAAGACCGTGCTTTGTAGCTTACCTTGGGGGAGGCCTATGTTCAGCAGTGGACTTGTGAAGGGCTGTAATGATGATGATTTACAACTTAACCTTAATAAAACTAAAATTATTCAATTTAAACCCTACCAAAAAACTGGTTTACAAATATCGTTTAACTATAAAAATACAAAACTAGAAACTGTTAACTCTGGCACTTTGTTAGGAATAGACCTGGACACACATTTGAGTTGGAAACAGCACGTACAAAAAGTTGCAAAAAAAATATCCTCATTTATTTATGCACTGCAACACCTTAAACGTGTGACAGATTTTAAGACTGCCCTTGCGGCTTACTATGCACATGCTCACTCCGTACTCTCCTATGGCATCATCTTGTGGGGAAACTCTTGTGATATAAACAAATTATTTATATTACAAAAGAAGTGTCTAGGAATATTGATAAATTTGGACAAAATGGAGTCATGTAAACCCCACTTCATTAAAAATAAGATTTTGACACTTACATCTATCTACATCCTCGAATCTTGTAAATTTGTTAGGAAGCACCCAAAACTCTACTCACCTATTAAAAAGACTAAAAGAAATAATAGAAATTTATATAAGCTTAAGATACCCTTCTCCAAATTAAAATTAGTTTCAAACAGCCCTCACGTTATGTCAATAAAGATTTATAACCATTTACCAAATTCCATAAAAATCCTGGAAAATCCTGTGCAATTTAATAAACAATTAAAAATATTTCTTATTAATAAATGTTACTATAATTTAAATGAATTTTTTGACGATAAATAACGATAAAGTAAGAATACTTAGACTATTCATTGTGTTTCAAATTAAATTAATTTATATAAAATAATATTGAATGTTGATGATATGATAATTTGTAATTTATGTTTAAAAATTAGATAATACGAAAATAGTTAGCCCTCTAGTGTTGCTATGCCCTTGCGGGGCGTCACATGTATACCGATCAAAATTGTACCATCTTAAATTTGTAATGTGACATGCAATAAACAATTTGAATTTGAATTTGAATTTGATGATTTATTTCGCTACAAAAGCCTTGCATCTCAAAGTAGCAAGCGATATGACTACCAATATTTTTATATTATGTTTAAGACGTTTTATATCCCGAAGAGGAAAGCCTCTTAAATTATATTTACTATAGTAAAAATGTTGTCAGTGCAAATTATTATAGTGTTGGCTATAGATATCCGGTACTTGATTTTAATAATGTTTTCTGTTCAGGGGGCTTGTCAGGGTTAAGCATGAACCTTTTACACGGTTTTTGGATTTCGGAAATGCCTTTTGAATTAATTACGATTAAAATAAATTTCACTAAAAATTTCATATAACGGAACGCAAATATATCAATTTGTTTTTTAACACAGATACACTCATAAAAAAGTTAATCACCCAGATTATCCATTTGTGGCTGAAGACTAGACTCATATACAATAAATTGAGTCGCAGTGGAGAGCAGTCAAGAGGTTTTTCAGAAAACAAATTATAACAATTCACATTACATTATTTCATTTACCACTATCATAGCAGAGTTTAGGGCAACCTGACTTTAGAGATACAGTTGGTCGTATTGGTTCTAAAACTGAATTAGCACGCCCGGACTTCACGTAGTCTTGTCTGCCCTAATTGTAGAGTGTTTTTGTAAAGCCTGCGGAGGCGAGCATGGGTGCCTGCGATTTGCTACAGCGGGCGGGGGCTGCTCTCCCTCAGCGCCTACGGCTTACTATACCACGGGTCGGTCGGAGATGTAGTGGACGACTGCTTACCTAATTATTCCGGGTTCAAATCCCGGCCTAAAAATCCGGGTTTTTCTACCAAGAAATTCTCAGTAGCAGCTTGGAGTCAGGATTTAAGAGGGCATATGCGTTTCGCGTCGAAAACTACATGTTTTATGGTTTTTCCAAAGGCGATATCGTAACGATGTGAGAGCTTATTAGCTGAAAATTAGGGCTTTAGAAAGATGAAGTCTTTATTTAGTGTATAGCAATGCAAAATCTTAGTTTTTAATGACGGTTTTTTAGGGCGAAGACAATCCCTTCACAGCGTTTTACGAAAACATGAATCAGAGTTATCTTTCAGGTTGAATACAACCATTAATATAAGCTAAAATACTTTATTTTAAGCGTTATTATAATGGAATATATAGTCTTTTAGTGTATAGCAAAACCTAAATTACGAAAATATTTCGATTTAATATTATAAAATAATATTATAAAATCACCAAAACTGTCTACTTCAATATAATTTTTTCCATGTATTTGGTTATAAACATATCTATTTTAATTATTTTATCCAAATACATGTAATGTTAAATATCCAAAAAAAAAATTCAGCTCGTTTTATTTTGTCAATCATTTTATTTAGTTATTTTAAAAATACTATAAATCGTCATGCGCAGACGCCGTTCGAATCAGTACGCTCCGGGTAATCCCAACGACAGGACGTATTACTTTTTCTCACCGACGCCGCGCGATCGCGTTGATACACCGATAGGGCTGTACTACACTATACTATAACTAGATACCTATAGCACTACCGAGCCTTTTAAACGATTGAGACTTTTATAAGCGATATTTTTGATTAGTAAGTAATTTTGAAATATGTTTATGATAGTAATATTTAAATATTAAATGATGTAGTTGTGCCAAATCTTCATTTCATACATATTTTTTTAGAAATGAGTAATGAACGTAAGCAATTCGGATCAAGTAAAAATACAAAATCGTTGGCTTTCACCTTTGGCTCCGTGGCGGAACGACTTGGTAATGAGTTGTAGCGCTGAGCGCCGCGGGATCGAATCCCACATGGAACAAAAATTTGTATTACCTACAAATAATTGTTCCAGGTCTGGATGTTTGTCCTTGTGAAATTAATTAATTTCATCTGCCCCCACGATGTAGTTAGGAAAAATTCCTAGTGTGGAGATAACGTTATGATTAAACAAAGACAT